CTTAGAGTAGCGAGATATATCGCATCCCCTCTCAGATCCCATCCCCTCCCCAGCGGGGATTACGTGCACGCGGGATAAAGAGTACTTGCCTAGCCCGAAAGCCTTATCTTCGTTCCAAAAATCTTATGGACCTCTACCTTGCTCACGTATTTATTATTTCGCACATCGTACATTATATGCACACATTTTTTCTGTTGTGTGGAAGAAGAGGATTGGCATGCTTTTGTCAAAGTCATGTTGGCTTTTTTCATCCAGGGTAACTGTGTACATAGATCTACGAAGGTACAATCATGAATTTTTAGATTACGAGATAGTTCTCAAAATTATAAGAGTTAGCAAAAATGTAGTATTTTCGTATTTTGGCCGATTTTTGAACTGCCACAGATGAAATCAGTAAATGTACATATGGATGATTATTGGGAAAAGGTATGCTTGAGCAAACTGGAATTTTGCGAAATTAGCTGAGAAATCTTGTTTCTGGTAGTTTAAATTCCAGCGTCAAAGGGACCAAATTTTTTGCAAATTCTTGCATATATTGTAGAGCTTGACGTTTTGCTTACATTGAGGCTTATATTTGAAGTGAGAAGAATCCGGCTCCCTTCAAAGCAGAGAAAATTGAGGAACAGCCCATACCTTATTGTTCTATTTTGTAAATGTTGCCTTTGCGTATTTCCAGAGTTGCTGCTGTCACTTACATGAAGCCAACAAGTGCTCGAAAAGTAGTTCCCTGTTACGATGAACCAGAATATAAAGCAATCTGGAATGTGACAATAATACATCCTTCTGGGACTACAGCAATTGCAAATGCAAAGGAGTTGAAAGTGTCAGAGTAAGCGGCCTCATAAAATCACTTGATGAGAACAATTTGAGAAAAGCGATCTCTTACTGGTAGTATGCATAGCACTTATGAGACACACACACTTTATTTTGTCATACTTTCGTAACTCTATGCAATAATGAACTTTTCAGCAAAAAGCTCACACTTTTCGTTACTTTCCGTCGTACAGGCTCATTCTAAAAAACAAAGATATTTTATCTTACAAGGGAAGCTATCTAACTTAGCTCGCGCTTTC